TGCAGATATATCGTTTATTCTCTTGAAACCTCTAATCAATCATCATTTATTTGTCAACACAATATAAAGACATCATTAAAAATATGGCAAAAAATAAAACAAACAAAAAAAGACTAACTTAAACTTAATTGTGTGGCAGGACTCGCCATGGACCTCGAATAGTAGCGACACCTACAACGATGATTCAGATCAACAAATAAATTTTAGGCTTCCACCAAGATTTAACGGAAGCTCACAAATGGGATCAGTAATAAACAGGAAATTCGATAGTCGCGGAAAAAAACGATATCCCGAGATTCTGTGTACGTCCACCAATCGTCAATACTTAATTAAGCATTTTCCCTGTCCATGTTCTATGTCGGTAGACTTTATGTCGAATATTTTATTTCATGATGTTGAAATGTTTATGACCTAACTCGATTTTTTTGTTATCTCTAGCAATCTTTCGGTAAACTGCTCACAAACGCAGGCAAAGTTTCTGGCTTTTCAAAGTTTACATGATCTGTAGAAATATTGGCAAGGACAGAGTGATATGATTAATTTATTTATTGCACCATTTTCATATAAATCTCCATTTTTGTAATTGTTCGTGGATATAAACATCATGACTCAACCTCCTGAAGAGTTTATTCAAATTTTAAATCTTATATAAGTGTTTTGTGGCTTTTTATGTAATCATATTCTGGGTGTGGCAGTAACCATATGAGCATGTTTTGAGGAATGTCTCAGACTAAACAAATTATTGCACCACAATCAAACCATAATAGCTCTAAATAGTCGGTTGCTTAAGATAAGATATTTCCGCCCAATGTATTTTCCCATTCTACGTTACGTAATGTTTTTCCAAATGTTTTCGGTGACTGACTATGTTGTAGAAGGCTCTAACAGAAATAAACGCGGAATTCGATCCATTATCCTAAGATTCTGTTTAAATCCATCGATGGACAATGCCTTCTGAACATTTTTCTGTCCGAAATTGCATGCCATTAGAGTTTATATTGGATTTTTAATTTCAAGATGCCGAGATTTTTATGATCCATCACAGCATTAAGGCACGCATTATGCATAAAGTAGTTTTTTTTACCAAAATGTGCCACTGGCTGATATACGACAGAAATGGTTTACGTATAAATATCGATATGCTAGCTCAGCGATTCCGAAACTTTATGTTCGTGCGGCGCCAAATTATCAGGGAAAACAAGAGAGCTATGCTCAAATATATGGACACGTAGGGTCACATAATTTTGATGACGTCATAGCGAAAAAAGAAGTAATAGCCTTCTGGAGAAAATTTTTATCTTTAACCACTAAAAATTTCAAAGCAATTGGTCCAGTATTCGAAGAGAAAAGCGACTTTTTAAAAACGTGTCAAGCGGTACTGAGTTAGCAGTCAGGCAGCATCTTACCTGTACACTGTAGGCCATATACGGTAATTGATCACAGAACAGTTGTTCCCTTGCAAATTTTATGTTGTTTACACTTTAGGACAGATAATTGATCACAGAACAATTCTTCCCTTTCAAATTTTATGTTGTTTCCAGTAGAATCTCATCAAAATAAACAAATATAATAGGCTACAAGTGCTACAACGCTTGCATTACTGCACTGGTAGGACCGTGAAAGAATAAGTTACGGTAATTTCATTGTGGTAAGACACCGGTACCGGCACCAGTACCAGTATCGTACTTACGTACTGAGCTACCAGTACCGGTTAGCAGTCAGCCAGCATCTTACCTGTACACTGTAGGCCATATACGGTAATTGATCACAGAACAGTTGTTCCCTTGCAAATTTTATGTTATTTACACTTTAGGATAGATAATTGATCACAGAACAATTCTTCCCTTTCAAATTTTATGTTGTTTCCAGTAGACTCTCATCAAATAAACAAATATGGTAGGCTACAAGTGCTACAACGCTTGCATTACTGCACTGGTAGGACCGTGAAAGAATAAGTTACGGTAATTTCATTGTGGTAAGACACCGGTACCGGCACCAGTACCAGTATCGTACTTACGTACTGAGCTACCAGTACCGGTACCGAACCTGTAGGTCTGATATTCCGTTCCGCATACGATAGGCTATAAAACTTGCATTGCAGCATTAGTAATACCGCGGAAGGAATAAGTCAATTTCACTGCGTTACGGCACCGGTATGGCAACTTACCAGTACCGACCTACAGTAGCTGTAGTACTGAGCAAGACAATCGATCGCGAAACCGCTTGAAATAAGTGTAAAACAGTGTTCCCATGAGTAAAAATAAATACCGCGAAATTTTGTATGAAATATCATATCTCATAGGATTCATATAAAATTTAAGAATAAACAAAAGTAATAGCCTTCTAGCGAAAAAATTAATCTTTAACCACTAAAAATTTCAAAGCAATTGGTCCAGTATTCGAAGAGAAAAGCGACTTTTTAAAAACGTGTCAAGCGGTACTGAGTTAGCAGTCAGGCAGCATCTTACCTGTACACTGTAGGCCATATACGGTAATTGATCACAGAACAGTTGTTCCCTTTCAAATTTTATGTTGTTTCCAGTAGACTCTCATCAAAATAAACAAATATAGTAGGCTACAAGTGCTACAACGCTTGCATTACTGCACTGGTAGGACCGTGAAAGAATAAGTTACGGTAATTTCATTGTGGTAAGACACCGGTACCGGCACCAGTACCAGTATCGTACTTACGTACTGAGCTACCAGTACCGGTTAGCAGTCAGCCAGCATCTTACCTGTACACTGTAGGCCATATACGGTAATTGATCACAGAACAGTTGTTCCCTTGCAAATTTTATGTTATTTACACTTTAGGACAGATAATTGATCACAGAACAATTCTTCCCTTTCAAATTTTATGTTGTTTCCAGTAGACTCTCATCAAAATAAACAAATATAGTAGGCTACAAGTGCTACAACGCTTGCATTACTGCACTGGTAGGACCGTGAAAGAATAAGTTACGGTAATTTCATTGTGGTAAGACACCGGTACCGGCACCAGTACCAGTATCGTACTTACGTACTGAGCTACCAGTACCGGTACCGAACCTGTAGGTCTGATATTCCGTTCCGCATACGATAGGATATAAAACTTGCATTGCAGCATTAGTAATACCGCGGAAGGAATAAGTCAATTTCACTGCGTTACTACACCGGTATGGCAACTTACCAGTACCGACCTACAGTAGCTGTAGTACTGAGCAAGACAATCGATCGCGAAACCGCTTGAAATAAGTGTAAAACAGTGTTCCCATGAGTAAAAATAAATACCGCGAAATTTTGTATGAAATATCATATCTCATAGGATTCATATAAAATTTAAGAATAAACAAAAGTAATAGCCTTCTAGCGAAAAAATTAATCTTCAACCACTGGAAATTTCAAAGCAATTGGTCCAGTATTCGAAGAGAAAAGCGACTTTTTAAAAACGTGTCAAAGAACAAGAACAAGAACAACAACAAGAACAAGAACAAGAACAACAACAACATAATATTGAAACGATCGTTATGTCCACTACGTGTCCAACAACAAGAACAACAACAACATAATATTGAAACGATCGTTATGTCCACTACGTGTCCAAAAACTCACGGCGAACTTACACGAATGAAATTGCTATCTTTGAATAAAACTCAATTTTGTGATCGTTAATGTGTACTATGCTTTCTAAATTTGTAATTATTGAAAAAATATGAATTTATTGATTCATATACACAACATTTAAAATAAGAAGCAATGAAACATTTATGATAAATACAATATGTGAAATACTTTAGCATAGGCTATATTAGTTACGGTATGTTTAATTAACACAATTCTGTTAATTTTCAGGGCTCACTAAGCAAATCGTTGCGGCACACTAGCGAAAGCAGTCTCATAGTTTTTAGACATATAGAATATTGCTTTTGTGTTGTTGTCCGTGTTGTGCGTGTCCGCACATATACTACATATAATTAATTATAAATGCCGCAAAGTATTCTGGCATATTCTTTCACTCGAGCGCTGTGATGTCAGAATGACTCATCAAAATAATAACCGGCGTCGCCGACTACAAAACATCACGACCAATGCTTAGTCACATTACTCAGCATTGAGCGTTTGCAGGAACGGCGAGTTTTTCTGTTTTGTTTGCTTATCTATGTCGGTGGTTTGGTAACTGGTTATGACCTTCGCTGCTATGAATGACATATTTCTCTACTGTGGCCACCATTTACCATACTGGTGTAATTTAGTACCGTACCATAGTGGAGACTAGGCTACATTGATTGCTGACAACTTTCAGACTTTTGTGATTCTTGTTTATAATTGTTATAATTAATAGCATTATCGTTGCCGTTAAATGGTTTGTATTTATGAGTTATTATGGAGATAATATTGTTCACAATTTATATTCATTAGTAATATATGCCTTAATAGTAATTTTCTTAATTTCAATATTGTTCAATTATATACCATACGGTAGTTCTGTAGTCTGTGGTATCAATGAAATCATGTTTTCGATCGATCTCAGCTGGCTCATATCACAGTATTAAAATCTTAGTACTAAACCAGTAAACGAAAGTTTTAGAACGCATAATTCTGTAATTGCTCTGACAGTCTGAGTGGGATTCCTATACAGGGTCATACCCTCAGGCTTTAAACAACATTATTATCTGAGTATAGGTGACCATTGGTATCATTCCAAAAAGGAGAAAATAAAATAGCCTAGAGGCTAGAGCCATTACTGCATTATTAATAACTGGGTATGCGCAGTGTAACAATTGACTGATTGAGGTATTTCAATGAGTGTAACCTTCGTTTTGTCTGTCTGGCCAGCAGGAGTAGATTTAGGACTGTTTTATCTTTGCAATAAACCTCCTTCCTGATTTCTGTACCTGGAAACCTGTGTATCCATTGAGACAGTACTATTCAAGTATTAGTATGCAGATTATCAAAATATATATCAATGCAACTTGAGGCAGCAAATCGATAAAAATTGCTTTAATAATCAAATTTTGTTATTATTTTCATGTTAGGAAATTTATTAATGATCTCTCTCAGTATACTGATATAGCAAAGTGCTGCAGTTTCACATATAAAGTGAAAATGTTGACATATTGTGGAAATCGAAGTGATTTATCATCAATATGGATAGAAAATGGATTTTCTCCATGTTTTTATCAAACAGTTTCGGCTTCTCTTATGGTTTTTATGGCCATACTGCCACTATCATTTCAAATACACAAGATGAGAAGGTAAGTGATATAAGATTTATATACATAATGCTTAAATGCTTATAAACGTACCATTATTATGTTTAAATTATTTACTTGAAATGTGATCAGTGTCTCACATCCTAAATTGATTCAAAAGGTGTTTTATATCGTGTCTTTATTGCCTGATTTTATATCATGTTTTTATTTTATTGTGTTCTTTTGACTGTTTTTGGTAGGCGGGCAGCCGGGCACGTACTTGTACGTTTATACCTTTTTCATTTAGTTATGTCCGTCCTCCAGTTCCCCTGCATTTTGTTTGTTCGTATGTTGTTGTTTTTTTTCTTTCAAAGTGACCAAAACCAAAAAAACTGATTGAATTTATTGAATATTAGATGTTTATTTATCTCCACCCTCAAAATGAAGCAAAATTTTAGTATTGTTGTCCCTAAAATAAATCCTCCCCGAGTCACAGGCAGGGATGAGTATTTTGAATCTCACTCAGTCATAGTTCCTTTTTACTTTACTCTGCTTTATTTTTTGTCAAATTTCCATTGCGATATAAAAATGATTCTTTTCACAGACAAGCTGTTCCAGTTGAATCAAAGTATTTAGTCAACTCATTTTTCTACATGCTACAATGGTTTGTTCTCCTTTTATTACTGGTTGAAACTCCTGTTCGTTTTGCTCTTGATTGGACGAAAGTCTACAATGAGGTTGATGGAGTCTCCATTTATTATTTCTTGGCAAGGTATAGAAATAGAACGTCTTATGTTTTTCATTTATGTCATAATCTGCATTTTTTGAAACGGGTCACTGCCATTTTGTGGAGTTCAAAAAGGAGACGCTCGCCCATTTCTTTTTCTTCATCTCCAGCTATTTGCCCACAGGGGTCTGGAGTCAAGAAAAATATATGATATGGTCGAACATATTTCCTCCATACCTGACATGGGCAAATTCGGCCTGTTGGATAATTCAATCTGGCTCGCCTAATGCTGCCACAACCAAACTAAAACCAAATTTTGATGTTTTAGCTAAAAAATTACTCAAGGAATTTGTTGAGATTGTGATTAATTTTATTTTTGGCACGTGGCTTATTGTTTCCCGCATTTACTTTTGTAACACTGTAATATTGTTTATTAATTGTAACTTTTTACCTCACACTTATATGGCCCACCAGTCCACTCTAGGTTTCAAAAGTCTTTTTGAAAACACCAACTGTGAACTCCGAGAAAAAAATGACCTTTTGGATATTTATTTATAAACTGCCATATGCTTAATTTTTGCCGATCAGTTTATTTTCTAAATTATCTATAATTTTAATTCTTTATTAAGGCTTGTACTGATCTTCATGACAATCGCATTATTTCGTCTTGAACGGACAACATTGCTAATGCATTTGAAGTTAAAAAGACACAGTTTGGCTTTGATATTGTCTTGGGCTGTTCTTCTTCTTATTGAAACTATTGTGGTTGTCTCTTGGAACAGTCAATTATGGTGGTTCAGGAATGAACACTCCGGAGATAAGGTAGGTATTTAAGTGCTTGGTGAAATTTTAGTCCGTATTATAATAAGTGAAATAATTTAAATTCAATTCTTGAATATACTTGGTAATGATACTCACAGCGCTATCATGAAATTCATAGTGCTCTATTTTATTTATGCGAAATTTGTTGCTTCATCTTCATATTTAACTTTTTTACAGATAGCAAATGGATTATGGATTACACGTCTTGTTTGTGTGTCTTTACTTTTCCTCATATCACTCTGTGCTCCTGGCGTTCCAACATTAAATTCTTGGCTAACTGTCAATGCTGACACAGAAAGGGATGTTGAAGATGGAATGGTAGGTACACTCTGCGTTTAAGGGGCAAACTATCATTCCACCGGAATAATAATGATGTTCTCCTTTTCAGGATCAATTATTACACCACAGGAACACTGGAGGAATGACGCAACAAAGTGGATCGACATGGAGCGGGATAAAGCTGAAGGTTTAAACTGTTCTTATCTATGGTATATATTCGATCGAATATAATACTAACACATACTTTATACTTTCTTTCAGGTTAAACTTCTTTGGCCATACATGTGGCCAAGTGGAAATGTATTGCTTCAAATAAATGTGATGATATGCATTGGATGTCTGGTAGCTGGAAGAGTAGTGAATTTATTTGTTCCTATTTTCTATAAAAACATTGGTAAGTTTGGTCTCTTCAATTTTTATATAGCACCAAGTTTATGTGTGTACGTATTTGTTTGATATTAGCTTAAAGTGTTATCCTTGAATAAGAGAGCCAAAAATTTTTGATATCAGAATATTTCCATTTGAAAATGAGCCTTCCCAAATATATAATACTAAGGGTCCCAGTCCCACCTACACATTGGTACCAGTGTAGTATGGCCTGTGAGCAAATAGGTTTCTGAAAAGGTTGGCAGATGAACAATTTTGAGATAATGAGATTGAATTATCAGGTCCTATGGGAAAAGAATAGCTTTTTCCCAACAACCGTAATATGTTTATTGTCTTTTACGTCTGTTGAAAAAAATATTCTTCTATTTTTCAGTTAATGGTTTGACATATGGAAATGAATGGAGTTATATTCTTACACAAATCGGGCTCTATGTTACGCTAAAATTCATGCAAGGAGGTGGATTTACAGGAGGTTTTCTGAATGGAATTCGTTCATTTTTATGGATCAGAGTACAGCAGTTTACAAACAGAAAAGTGCAGGTGTGAATTACTTAAGATCTTCTCCATGTTTTTGTTGTTAGTATCTGAAACTGCTTTAATGTGTTTGGATAGGAAATGAATCACCACCACGTAAATAGAAGGTTTTCTTTAAAGTGGGCGCTATTTCCTACTAATCAAAAAGATTCTGCTCTTTAATAAGAAAATAGTAACTCCCTTATTTAAGCATAGGATAGGATTTACATATTTATCCCGGGGGGGGGGGAGGCGATAAGAAGGGTTAATTTTAATGTTTTAATCGCTATGCCATTCCACCCACCAAAAATAAAAATTATACCCTAAAATTTGTTACGCATTATTTTGCAGACAAAACTCTTTGCTCATCTTCATGCATTATCATTACGATGGCATTTATCTCGAAAAACGGGTGAAGTTTTGCGATCGATCGATCGTGGGACGCAAAGCATCAACACTCTTCTTTCCTACATTGTGTTCAGTATTCTTCCAACCATTGCTGACATTCTTGTTGCAATTGTATACTTCGTTGCATATTTCAACGCTTGGTTTGGATTGATCGTGTTTGTCTGTATCGGATTATATCTTGGTAAGTTATACCAGTATCTGTAATCACCAACAATTGAAAAAAGTCAGATAGCTCAAGTGATACAGTTTTTGAACATTGGGGTAAAAAACGAAACGAATATTCCAAAATTCTCAAATTATCACAATCATAATTCTAGTTGCATGCATATATTTTGACATGTAAGTTGAATAAGCTGAATTTTAGAGTTCTGGTTGTTCTCTGTGTTCAGCATTATTACAGATATCGCTACAATTATTGCTGTGGAAACTAGGAAATTTGCAAACATCTCTCAGACTCTTGACAACTGGTTGAAAATACTTTCCACTCCAACTCTGAAAAAAATTTTATTTTCATACTTTTTGATAATCGGTTAATAATGCTCAGTTGAGTTAATTTTTTTTTAAATCTCTGTACAAAATTTTGGCCTTGATTATCACCATTGAAAGTCTAAAATTCAGTCTTTGGGAATTTCAACGCTGGCGCCTGACTACACAGTCCAGAATGTAAGTAAAATTCACGAATATATTTTCAGCTGATACAATCCTTGTAACTGAGTGGAGAACGAAGTTTCGACGAGACATGAATACAAAAGATAATAGGGCAAAACAGAGAGCCATTGATTCATTACTTAACTTTGAAACGGTAAGTTCCAAAATTTATCTATCAAGGCATTGATTACCCCAATTTATTGCAACCTTGGTAAAGTGGTCCTCATTAGGTTTGAAACGCAAGATCTTTGCATGACATTCATGCTCAGATCTAGGCTTTAGTCGACTTTTAAAGAGTGGGACAAATAGTTTTACTGGAATTGATTTTAATGAATTCTGCATTGTTTGACCTGAATGAGAAAGCCGATAGTAAAATATTCTGTTGTGACCATTATACAATACAAGCACAGTATTGCTATACAAGGTTTATATTATTCTTTTTGAAAAACGTTTATTAACTCCTTAATTTTCTACTTTAAAACTTTCCTCATGTTTTTACAGGTCAAATATTATAATGCTGAAAATTATGAAGTTGAAAAATACGATGACGCCATTGTTGATTATCAGTCTTCAGAATTTAAAAGTAATGCATCACTTGTTTTACTCAATGCATCACAAAGTTTAATCATCAATGTCGGTCTTCTTGTTGGGAGCATTCTTTGTGCAAAATTTGTTATCGATGGAACTTTCCAGGTAATTGTGTTTATGATTATAAAAGTTTATATCTAGGATTAGGCTCTTTCTCTGCTTCTGCGAAGTAAAATTGGTGAACCCAATTTAGTTGGTGTTGATAAAGCAGAAAACTATTCATATGAATTAACATCTTAAACCTATTTTCAAGTTGTGTTTCGCGATGGTCTGGCTCAGGGGTTCCCAAACTTTTGGGTTGTGGAGCTTGTGAAGAGGTTGACTATTATTTACGAAGATCCACAATAGATTTATAAAAATAAAAAAAACATTGTTACTTACCGATTAATGTCCCTGAGTGAACTAAAATTACTTCAATAAATGACCCAGATGTATTTGCTGCTTCGTATTTAAAAAAATATATTCAGCCTTTCAATAAGTAACGAATAGCCGACGAAGCCCCTATTTCTCTCATGAAATATATTGAAAATTGCAAATCGAAATTACCAAATATAACTTTTTTTTTAAATTTGTTCAGAACAGGCCAGAATTCAATTTTGTACTTATAAACCTTTCATTTAAAAAAATATTATTCTGAGCTATTGAAGTATCGTGGTAACCTAATAGGCGTTCATTCATTTTGTAAAAACTGTGAAAAATTAAAAGCAAACCAAATCATTGTTTATCTCCACTTCCCTACATATCCTAATGCCATATTCTCCAATGTTTAATGATTTGTATATGTTGTCTGTTGACTGTTGTAATTGTAAACAATATAATTTTGAATATATTTCGCATCGAAAAATACCGTACTATTTCAAGAATATTTTAAAATAGTGGAATATTTGCATTTAGCTATTCACATAGCCATTTAATCATTCTTTCTTTTTGTAAACCAGTTTTTGAATAGTAGCCTATATATACTAACAAAGAAGTTTTTTGCTTCTGAATATTGCATCCAGGGATGGCCAAAACCGAATAACTGTTATTCTAAAATCACTATAAAAGTAATATATAGAATACAATTACAAGTTTTAATATAAGGAGTTAAATTCATAAAACACAAGAAATTGAGACTCAGATAGAACATATTTGATTGTCCCTCTATTATATTGGTTTTTATGTAATTATTGAATGAAAGTTTTCTCAGTCATGCCATACCGTTTGACTTCATTTGCTTATACTAATAATTTTTAGGAAGAAACTATTCTGAATTAATTTTAAGATCAAGAACATAAAATATCCGGTGCTCCCAAAGTATGCGAACCAAGATGGCGGACATCGGAATGTAATATGTGTACTAGGTTAGGGTTAGGCCATAATTTTAGCTATAAATACTACGGGAGGCTCTTGGCTAGTCTTCGAACTGATAATAGGACTAAAATAAGGAAAATTGGAAAAAAATTATGTCTAACCCTAACCTGTTACCCATGTTACGTTCCGATGTCCGCCATCTTGGTTCGCATACTTCGGGAGCCCCAAATATCCAATATCAATAATTTTAAAAGTCTATTTGCATTCCCATCAATATCACAGTGAAATGTGTCATATATAAATGTTATATCTCAATATTTAACCTAGAATTCTCTTCTTTTGATTGAATGCTTTTGGTTTCACGCTAAGCAAACGTCAATAAAATAGGTTTTGTTTATTCAAAAACTTTTTCTGTTTATTTTTGAAGGTTGGAGACTTTGTATTGTTTGGAACATACATTGTTCAACTTTATACTCCATTGAATTTCTTCGGAACTTATTATAGAATGATTCAAGCTAATTTCATCGATATGGAAAATATGTTCGAACTCTTTGACCAGGTGGGATATTTTTAATCGTTATGACAGAGGCTCTCGAATTATTCGAATTATTATGACTCTACTAACATAAATGATGACAAAAAAATATGCTTGTTTTGTGCACATATACCGGTGTCTCAGTGGTGTCATCGAAATCGTCCACTTTTCCACAATTGTCGCACTGTTCTCAGTTAGGGTTGATATATATTGTAAATCAAATGTTTGAAATAAAAATATGAAGTGGAATTCATGCTTTGTTCTGGTTTAGGATAGATATGTTACTTTGGCAGAAGAGTATTCATACAAGTGGGGAAAGGTCAAAGGTTATACTTTTATGAAGCTTCCTATTCATCCATTATTCAAGAATTCACTGCACTTTGAATCCATTTAAGAATACTTGCCTTTCATGAATCGCCATATTTTTGTATTCAGGAAGAAGAAGTTCGTGATAACGTTGATGCCATAACATTAGAAGTACAAGACAAATCTGTTGAATTTGACAATGTCTGTTTCTCATATCAACCAGAAAAGCCAATCTTAAAGAATGTTTCATTCAGAGTAAATCCAGGAGAAACTATAGCCTTAGTTAGTATTAATTTTACATTGTATTTTTTATCATTTTATCTTTTTTTTTCTCACTACCTATGCGTCTGTAGTTGGACACCAAGTGGTCATATAGATCATTTCGTATTCCCGAAGTATGTGAATCAAGATGGCGGACATTGAAACGTAGTATGTGTACCATTTTAGGGTTAGGCCATAATTTTATTACATTTCTCTATATTTAAGTTCTATTATGAGTTCGGGGACTAGCCAATTGACTCCTATAGTATTTGTACCTAAAATTATGGCCTAACCCTAACCTGGTACACACACTACGTTCCGGTGTCCGCCATCTTGGTTCATATACTTCAGGAGTACTGATCATTTTGCTAGATTGTTGTTGTTCAAGAAACTTTTTTGGAACAGAAAAATGCCATTTCTTGTTACTATTACTAATAAACCAATTGACTTTAAATATTCGGTATTTAAGGAGTGAAGTATTGCCAGAAGGCAATTACTTTAAATTTTTTTCAAATTTCCCGTGATAACCGATATTCATCCAAAATTTTGCGGTTTCATTTTGCTTCATGGGAATTCATCGGATGTGACTATCACGGCTGTGAATCTGCTGCTCAGCATTGTGTCTTTGTGAGTCGCCTCAATACCACGGTACAGCAATTAGTTATTGGACCATTGCTTCAGTATATTTCCGCATTGACACTCATTTTTGAGACAAAAAGTAAATCAATATATTGCACTTTGTTTCCCAAATTGCAACAACTTTTCAATTTTTTTTTCACAGTATGCATTAAAATTTCATATTTTCAATCAATTATATTTAGGTTGGACCATCCGGCTCAGGGAAGAGTACTATTATCAGATTACTGTTCAGATTCTATGATATACAATCTGGTGTGATAAGAATTGATAACACAGATATTTCTACTGTGACACAATCTTCACTCAGACAATACATTGGAGTTGTTCCTCAGGACACTGTGCTTTTTAATGATAATATTCAGTAAGTGGACTGTGTTGTTGATAAATATACTTGTGTAGTTGCTTTTAATAATGACTCGTTGGTAGATTGCCTTTAAGAGTCATGTATGATATCCTACTATACATGTTAGTATGATCTAGTTACAGTTCTAGCTTTGTTTTATTCCCTTGTTCGCACACTTTTTTATGGTGTTACTCTTTCCCTTGACAAGTGATATATAGCGTATTACTCTCCAAATAAGTTAAAAAATGGTGAAAGATTTTCAGACAGATCAAAATTTAAGCAGTGTAAATTTTCACAGGCATTCATCTTAGAAAAATAACTAACATTTGAAAAAAATCATTTGTGTAATTTGTGCTAATTTTCTTCACGCACGTTCAATAAAAAGATTCCAAATTAATTTTTAGAAAGTAAAAAATACCTAGGATAGAGTAGGATTTTTCATATTTATCATCCCTCTATGGGATTCGAACTTCCGAACCCACACAGGGTAATCGAAGATACGACGTGAAGTGGGTGTCATCCGCCGAGCCTGCTCCATACTGATCATCTAATTATCTTTTCTAGAAATAATATTCGCTACGGACGGGTGACAGCAGCCGACAGTGAGGTTGAAGCTGCAGCTCGTGCTGCCGATATTCACGATAAAATCAACAGCTTTCCAGATGGTTATCAAACTATGGTTGGAGAACGTGGGTTGAAACTAAGCGGTGGAGAAAAACAAAGAGTCGCAATCGCTAGGACTATTTTGAAAGCGCCTGATTTTGTTCTATTAGATGAGGTAGGAGATCAAATCTATTGGTTTTGTTAGTGGAATGTTAAGAAGGTTCGACTTGTTTTGAGCAAGTAATTTTTATTATTCGACATGAAGTGGATCATGTTGCTGCATTGTTGTTGTTGGGGTTTTTATTGTTGTTTACTGGGAAATATAGATTTTCTCTATATAACTCAGGAACCAATATATATTCAATGCTTAAAGACGATGGTTGGAGTCCTAGAAAGCTATGACTTTTATTTTTCAAATTCCCTCAGTTTTATGGGACCTGTCATTTCACCCAAAATTTCGCTGTTTTATTTTTTTTTATCGAAAACGGACCACTTATTTGTTATGCCGCACCCCTGTTCCCCTATCTTTTCCTGTGATGTCTGGTTCAAGTCCGAGTCAGACTTATTCATTAATTAACCAATCAGAATTGATCCAGTGGCCAATGATCATAGGTCCCGGATCTTCTCAGTCCCTTGGTCAGCCAAAGTCCGTTATATCATTCAAAGCATAACAAATTAGTAAACTCTGCTAAACAACAAGCATTCCGTTCTTTTGTGTTGTACATAGCTTTGTCTAGTTTGCAGGTTTTGAAACATTTTATATATCTAAATTTTATTTTATTTTTTTAGGCAACATCAGCGCTCGACACAACAACGGAGCGTCATATTCAAGAATCTTTGGATAAAATTAGCACAGGAAAGACAACAATAGTCGTAGCACATCGATTATCAACTATTGTAAACGCCAACACTATAATTGTACTTCAAGATGGTGAAATCGCTGAAATGGGAAGGTAGGTGTTCTAGCTCTGAGAGTGTGTATAGTATTGCCAGATTGTGATTGGTTTTCTATTTTTACACTGTCAGAAATATTCCTGAAATTAAAAAAATTCACGGAACCTGAGATTGGCCAAGGGCCAGTTTGAGAAACTTTGAGTTATTGTTTCGACTTCTGCTTAACTTACAGAATACATTAGTTGTCGAATCATTTTATATATATTAATTTTTCTTACAATTCATCTTTACTAACAGCCATGAAGAACTATTAAAAGCAAATGGTGTTTACAATGGAATGTGGGCACAACAACTAGCTGATGTCAGTGAATATGGAGAAAATAGTGGGAGCGGGAGTGGGAATGAGAAAGATAAAGAAACAAAGAAGAAATGAGTTTTTGGATATTACCTACTTCTCAATATTTGTTATTCATTATTTTACCAAAATTTACATTTTGAGCAACCATTGAAAAACTTCATTGCCTCAAAAACATGATTGAAACCGCTACATTGTGGAAATTCAATATATTATACCAGTGAATGCAGCAGTTTAATAGTTTAAATCAGGGGTGTGCAACCTGCGGCCCGCGGGCCAAATACGGCCCACAAGGAAAAACTGTGCGGCCCACAGAGAAGTGCCAATTTTGAATAGTGTGCGGCCCTCGAAACTAGTTTTTGATTCAGTTTAATCTGGTACGCGCAAGTAATTCCAATCCACTACAATGCCTTAACAGCTATCTTGTGGGAGCGAACAACGCATGTAAGATAAGATCGATTACTTCTGAATGCAACTACTAGAAAACCTATGTTAAATAAATGTGCGGCCCGCGGTTTCACCTCGTTATTCGTATCTTGCCCCTGTATTAAAGGTTGCACACCCCCGGTTTGAATCCGTGAAGAAATAATGGGATAGAAAAATCAACAGTTTTTATTTTGCTTAATATCTTTTTTTTTGTGAACTACCGAAGTGTGTGTGGCTTTTATTGTTTTTGTGTTTTGGTAGTAAGCTTGAATTTATTTAAATTAGTGAACTAATATTTTTTTTCGTAAGCCTTATGGCACTTATTTTTGCCAATTAAAAGTAAATATAGATAAAAATTTGATTTTGAGAATTAAAAAGAACTACCGGTAATTAGCCTTTCAGTTCTTACTTGATTTACCTTCTTCTTTTATTTATACCTGCGCCAGATATAAATTCCTATATAAAATTGGACTGCTGAGTGTCTGATAAGTAGAAAGCAGTATCTTGAGATTATGATTTTTTTGTAACTTGCATTTCAAAAAAGCTCTTTTTTTTCTTTATGAGGAAGCTCCTTCTTTATAGAAAATAGTGTTAATTATGTCATTATGTGATTGCCTTTGGATCCTTTAGAGACCCAAAGAATTTTTTTTGATAATGCAAACACGTCATCCATAACAATCACCATTCAATTTTTAACGGCAAGAGTACCAATGTGTAATGACATTGTGAATCTATACTTACCCAACTATTAGCTGAGGTGATAAGTCAAGTATAGGGAAGCCCCACCCACACTTATGGGAAATATTTGAGGTCCAAAGTTTTTATGGATAATTTTTTCGAGTAAATGATGCAAAGACATCAGTCCTAACGATCACCATCTAATATTCAACGTATGGGTGTGTTGTTACTTATCGATTTTAATCGGTAAGTATGTTGATAGGTATCTGTCTGTCTGTTAGATGCACGCGATATCTCACGAAAGCGAGATTGAATCTGCTCCAGATTTAGAATGTGCATTCATCATATGTCGTACCAGAAGCCTATTGATTTTGGATGAATTATGTCGTATAATTAGCGAGTTAATAATTAATTAGTAATGGGACACATGGTGCCACTATGGAGTAAGAGCGCTGTTTTGAGGGATCCCCTAACTTTTGATCGATAAGTCTTCGGCCTCTGACAGATATTCTCAGTTTATAATATTTGAAGCTTTGGGATAACCGACACTGTCAAATAATAGAGTAACTGTAACCTCTTCGGCTCAACATATATTTTCACACACTATACGGATAGTCTAATATTCCTTATTAAATCATATTCTACAAAAAAGCGTATATTCTTAATTGTATTTTGCAATTGACTCTACGAGTCTTGCGATTATCCAGTGACCAAATATCGTCAGACAAAGTTTTGGACTGGAATCTTTGAACTTCATCTTTTCTGTTGATTCCTATGTTACATCATAATACTTGGTAGTGTCTGTAATAGAGCTGCAAAATATCTTTCAGCGTTTTTTTTTTCAATTTTCTGTGTTTTTATAATGCACTTTTAACTAAATTCTTGATCTTTTGGATCATTTTTCAGTCGTGTTTGTTGCACAAACATTTGATAAAAGGTATAAAAACAAAAATATTGTAATATTTGTATGGATGCAGCACAGTATCGGTAGATTTATATTTTGTGTACATGTCAAAATCATCCCATTACCTAATGACCTATTGACCAATGGAGCTGGTCCTTTTCGAATATCCATTAATTTCTGGATTCAATCAAAAGTTTTTCATATCAAATCTCGAATAATTGGAAGATATTTGAATTAATACAACGGTGTAGTTAATTCTAAGAGATTCACGTCGACGCAAAATAACAAGATGGTGGCCATTCGAATTCAATTTGAAATATCCAACCATATGGACTAGCCACTGTTTGTATTCAAAAGTGAGGAGGCGAGGCGCCGCGAGTGGAGATGTGAGAATGCGTTCAATTCACTTCTACAGGATTTTATCCGCACTCATTATTTGACAAAAGTACAAAAAATGCTAACTAATCCGAATAGAAATTTGAATGCTTATTGAAGGAAGAAATTGAATATATTCCAGGGAAAGGAATGACAATATGACGCCTTGGCGAGCCGCGGCCATTGGTCGAAGGGAATAGTTAACCCGTCATTCATATGCATGTGAACGCTGGCTAATTTGGAATATTTTTCGCAGTATTGAAATCGCAGTTCTTATGAAGCTATTTTGATAAACCGGGTGAATATTTCATGTTATTGCATTGTATTTTTCCTCAATTGAGATTTTGTTTAAAATGTCAATCCCTTGCATATATATTGAAGCATGGGGCGATATCAAGCGTTTTATTAAAATATCTGAGGCAAATACGAGATGACCTTATCTTGCTGGAAGCACTGAATAAGAATCGTTGGGAATATGAAAAATGCAATCGTAATACTGTACCCACATTTACCCAATACTAACAAAACGCATGTAATATGCGACAACATTTATTTCAACAATCACCAAAACTATGTTTCTAGTTTAGACTATGGTTATCTAAAATTTCGATGTGTCGTCGTTATTAGCCGTCCACTTGCAATTATTTGCTCCAAATGTAACATCCACTTTTGTTCTGCTTGAGAACGTATCTATAGTAATGCCTGAAAAGATTTGTAATGATTAATTACTGGTTGTTTTGTTAATTGCTTATGACTCCGACCAAGTAGGTTAAAGTTTAGAGCACACTGACCAACGCTGGACAGTAGCTTGCTGGTTTGATTCGCTATCATGATATATATCGAACTAAAAAGTATCTCACCTGTAATATTTCAGACTGAACTTATAGCTGCATGTGGTTGGATAAACAATCCTCCACTGGAACGACGAGCAATTCATAACAGGAAGAGTAAACTTGACAGCATAATTGCATTTGTATCCACAGGCGTAATGTTGTTCAAGTTTTGGAATCATATCATTCCAGTATTGGTCGAACTCATCGAGAATTGCGAGATATTGACTGTTGACCTTGCTTTTGTATGCACCGAAGAGATCAGATACAGCTCCGTCAAACTCTTCGCCAAAGTAGAAAGCCAACATCTTTTTGTATTGATTAATCTTCATTTTAGAAACCTGGATATAAGACCATATTTTTCGATAAATTGAGTAAATTCACGAGAAATCAAAGGTTGCAGCATGACCATATATGAAGTCGGGATTTTTGTACTGATATTTTGTTTTGCCTTTTCCTTAAAATAGTCCGATTCTTGTTTTTGATATGATAATTTGTTTAACAATTTTTTAAACTGTTGAAATTCGAATAAATGAGTGACTACGAGATTGAGTTAAAATTTCAGAATTCCGTCACATTGATTAGTAAACTTAATTTTTAGTTTTAATTATATAATCACCTTGGCCAGACCATTCTTCAACGCTTCTCTCAATTTGTCTTTCTTCTCATTCAAAGTCTGAGTATGATTCTCAATTTTCTTCGTTCTTGTGTTGAGGCAAGTTTGATAACGAGCAGTTATTTTTTCAGCTAACTTTTTCAAATTGCTTCTGTATTTTTCTATCCTTTTGACGTAAACCTTTCCCGATGTAATCAATCGATCGGCCAACATTTTTTCGTAACATTCGAGAGCTTTAGTTTTCTGACTTGCCAGTTTCATAGTGTATGATTCGATTTTACATATTGCCATCTTGCAGAGGCGTCCTTGCCTAAAAGTAGTATATACATTGTTCACGCTAGCCTAATATCGCATTTTTTACGGTCTACTGATTTTGGCATACTGATTTTGGTCTTGGAATTATGGTCCTACATCCGGGGCTTTGCTCAGCTGCTTTCTAGGATTTTCGATGTGAAGTGTGCTTATCTCAGTTTAGGGTTAGTAATGCTAAATTTTGTGGGTTTCTGGCCTATATGGGTTTCATCAGACAAACTTTATATAGATGTATGATTTTATATTGTTGCAGATTTTGTTGTGCTATGTACGCTGAACGTTGTTAATCGTTTGCTATAATAACTACCAAAGTTACCCCAGCCCACACTCGCTCAGCCCACACTCAGCCTGACGTCAAGGGGTTAACCAACTATTTTACTGACTTTATAAACGTAATTACATAAAAACTTGGTGACTCTGACAATATAGAGACCATATCTGATATACACAACGCAAATACAATACCAAGCACGGCCCAGTTACCCCTCGCATGGCCTGACAAAAACGAGTGTGGGCCAGCGTCACACGAGTGTGGGCTAGCGTCACACGAGTGTGGGCTGGCATCCCACGAGTGTGGGCTAGCGTCACACGAGTGTGGGCTGACGTTCTGACAATGTTTCACCGTAAGTTAAGGCATCCTAAACGTTCACAGATTACTAAATTACATATATCCATGTTTAACTCAGCGCCAGAACCTCTGAAAGTCCGGCAATTGATGGCACAAAATAGCCACAATTGCCGGGAAAATAAATCGAAATCAGCTGAACAATGATATCTCTAATCACTGTTGCCAGATATATAGGTGGACAAGCATGAATTCACAGGAAGGTTTCACAACAAAAAAAAATTATATCTAAGCGAAATACCAAACCTATTCATTTCCATCAATAAGAATGAGATATGAACAAATCGAATCTGATTTGCACAAATACATCTTTTAAAATAAAGTTGAACAAGCAAATTCAAAAGCAAATTAAGTAACATTTACCCAAAGAGATACATTGTCTTGATGGCTTTGAAGTCTGATTTCGGCACTTCTAATACTTTGTACGCCATGAAATCGACTTATTACATTATATATCCAATTATCCAACAAATAACAAAAAATTTAAAAATTCTACCTGGGGGAAAGACTTTAAAATAAAAAAAGAATGTACCTATGTCTAAAGATAATCCTATTTCCCGACAATGGTATTTTATGACAAAATGCAACAGAGAATTGAAACTTTTCTATTAATTTGTACATCACGAAATTTGTTTAATATATTATATAGTGAATTATCTTACAAATACTAAAAAATAAAAAAAATTTACCTGGGGGAAAGACTTTAAAATAAAACCGGAATCTACCAATATCTGACGATAATCATAATTCCCGATAATAGTAATTTATTACAAAATGCAACTAGAAATTGAAATTTTTCTATTTGTTTGTACATCACGAAATTTGCTTATTATATTACATAATGAATTATCTTACAAATATCGAATATTGAAAAAATTCTACCGGGGGGAAAGACTTTAAAATAAAACCGGAATCTACCTATGTCTAACGATAATCATATTTCCCGACAAAGTATTAGAAGTGCCGAAATCAGACTTCAAAGCCATCAAGACAATGTATCTCTTTGGGTAAATGTTACTTAATTTGCTTGTTCAACTTTATTTTAAAAGATGTATTTGTGCAAATCAGATTCGATTTGTTCATATCTCATTCTTATTGATGGAAATGAATAGGTTTGGTATTTCGCTGAGATATAATTTTTTTTTGTTGTGAAACCTTCCTGTGAATTCATGCTTGTCCACCTATATATCTGGCAACAGTGATTAGAGATATCATTGTTCAGCTGATTTCGATTTATTTTCCCGGCAATTGTGGCTATTTTGTGCCATCAATTGCCGGACTTTCAGAGGTTCTGGCGCTGAGTTAAACATGGATATATGTAATTTAGTAATCTGTGAACGTTTAGGATGCCTTAACTTACGGTGAAACATTGACAGAACGTCAGCCCACACTCGTGTGACGCTAGCCCACACTCGTGGGATGCCAGCCCACACTCGTGTGACGCTAGCCCACACTCGTGTGACGCTGGCCCACACTCGTTTTTGTCAGGCCATGCGAGGGGTAACTGGGCCGTGCTTGGTATTGTATTTGCGTTGTGTATATCAGATATGGTCTCTATATTGTCAGAGTCACCAAGTTTTTATGTAATTACGTTTATAAAGTCAGTAAAATAGTTGGTTAACCCCTTGACGTCAGGCTGAGTGTGGGCTGAGCGAGTGTGGGCTGGGGTAACTTTGGTTAATAACTGATATCTCAATTTTGCATTGCCGTTTGCCATCTTCAATCTTTACAAAGAAAATTACATTGCTGCATTGGTTTTCGTTTCTACAACTTGTGTTCTGTGTGTTTCACTGGATTGGGTCATCGCTGTCAGTTTTTCAGTTCAAGGTAAACGCATTTCAACCAGCAAACTGGCAAACCAGAGAATTAGGCAACATCAAATCTTAAATTATCAATAGAAAACGCTGGCATCTCAAGGGGTCTGGCGTGGGATAGTTCTAAATGATCACTGTCCTGAACATTAAATTAACAACGAAGTACAAGTTTAACTAAAGAATTTAAAACTATATCGTATATAACAATGGCTGAAGATTCTGCACCGCAATTGCAACATGTGATCTCCTCTGGAACACCAGTTGCTAAGCATGACGATGCAGGCTCAACTGGTTCAGCTCATTCTGTTATTTCTAATGAGTCTGTGCGTGCAGAATACAATCTAAAGATGGCTCAACTCAAGTTGGAGCAATTTGATCAGGAAGAGAAACTGAAATCTGAGCTGTTAGAAGCAGAGAGAAGAAAAGCTGCTGAATTGCAAAGATTTCGGCTTGAACAAGATTGTAAGGAAGCTGCTCTTATGGCTGATGTGGAATCTAGTGATGGTTGGAAGTCTGTTGACTTGGCCAATACAGCTTTGGGAGATGCTCAGAGGCCTGTGGCTGTTGGTTCCTCAAATGTCAAAAGAAGATTATGTAAGAATAGGTTTCCTGAAGAGTTCAATTCAACATCACCGGAAATGTCAGTTCAGGAAAAAGTTCATTTTCTGGGAAATGTTTCTAGACCCAATCAAACGGTTAGTCCAGGCAAAAATGTTGACAATTCAAAGAGTAAGGCTGAAACGCAATTCTCTGAACATCTATACAAATTGACTCAAGCGATGCAGCAAGGCTTTTCACTTCCTCGTGCTGAGCCATTATCATTTGATGGTGACCCTTTGAACTATTTTTCATTCATGAAATCTTTCGAAAATTTGATAGAAGGCCAGGCATACGATTTTCGCACTAAATTTCAACAATTAGAACGTGCATGCATTGGTGACGCTAAAAGGGTTATTAAGCGTTTTACTTATGAAGAAGATATAGAAACTGCATATTATTCTGCTTTGAATGGCCTAAAAGAGGAATTTGGTCGCCACGATCAAGTTATTGAAGCTTATCGTAAGAGTTTAACTGAGGGCCGTGTACTAAAGATGAATGATCTGTCTGCATTGCGGGAATATGCTTCTGAATTGAAAACATGCCTTGCAGTTTTAAAGGCATGGAAAAAGCCAAATGCAATGGATTTAAGTGAATTTCTAACTAGAATTTTTGCACGTTTGCCAGAAGATCTTCAACGAATGTATTTTGCGGAGCTCTTAGCTTCTTCAAAAAGGTCAACATTTGCTACTTTGGTAGACTTTGCTTGCAGAGTAGCTCGGATTACATCTGACTGTTGTGTAGCGTCTTACATGAAAAATGCTGCTCGGGTATCTGATAAAATTGCTAAGAATCGAACAAGGGATGCAATTTACACTGCAGTTTCGTCATCCGTTGACGATCAACTTGAAGCATCCGATGCCGTTCCCAGCTCTACACTTCCAGAATGCTTGTTTTGTAAAGACTATCACTCCATATATAAATGTGAAAAATTCATGGTGGAGCCTGTTGAGTCTCGTCGAAATTTTGCTCGCGTTCAACGTTTATGCTATAACTGTCTAAAGCCCAACCATATGGTTGGTAGTTGCCCTTCGCAAAGTAGATGCAGGGCTGAAGGATGTGGTGCTCGTCATCATACGTTGCTCCATATTGGTCATGTGAACAGAAATAATCAGTCAGTCCCTGCGACAGTACATGGGGCCGGTAATAGCATTTTTTCATCTCTTTCAGTCAATAAAAATGTTTGCTATGTTAGACTTCAAGTTGCACCTGTTAGGGTATTTCTCAATGACATGAAAAAATCAATTGAAGTGTATGCCTTTCTCGATCATGGAGCTACTCGCTCATTTTGTTCCAAGTCTTTATTAGATAGAATGAATATTTCTGGTTCTTCTGAATCTTGTTTGATTAATGGTATAAATGACTCAAGGCAACATATTGGCCACAGGGTAAACCTCAAAGTACAGGGAATTGGGGAATCAACGGTTGTGAGATTAGATAATGTTTTAGCTTTAGACGCTCTTCCCGATTTAAGAGGTTCTTTACCAAGCAATGATATTACTGCAAAATATCCACATTTGTCTAATTTGAAGTTTTGTAACTTGAATGCTGATAACATTGATCTTTTGATCGGTGCTGATGTTCTTTCCAGATATCCACCAACAGAATATTTGCAAGGCGATGACAATGCTCCTACAGCATGTCATACAATTTTTGGTTGGACACTGTTTGGTCCGGATATTCTGCATGGAAACTCAGAAACCGAAGAAGTGTGCGATTCATTTTCTAATGCTAATTGTGTTTTTCATATTTCCAATCCTATTGTCAATGATTGTGATAGTTTCAGTGCTCCAATGTGTAAAGTTTGTGCCCATGAATTTGCTGATATTAATTGTGACCCATGTTTAACTGGTTTGTCTGTCAATGACAAGAGAGCTCTTGAAATTATGGAAAAAACGACCACCACTGTTGATGGTCGTTTGCAAATAGGACTCCCGTGGAAGAGTGACAACGTCAAACTTCCCAACAATAAAAGAATGGCAGAGACCAGATTAAGGTCTCTGAAACGTCGTTTTGAAACTGATAATGATTTTTTCTGTATGTATAGGTCTAAAATGAATGAGTATATTGAAAATGGTTATGCCGAATTATGCCCTGATGCTTTTTCACATACTGATAGAACTTTTTATATTTGCCATCATGCTGTGATCACATCGGGAAAATTTAGAATAGTTTTTGATGGTAGCAGTGTCTTCCAAGGCACTTCTCTGAACCAGAACCTTCTTTTGGGTCCCGACTTGAATAATGGCCTATTGGGTGTTTTGTTGCGTTTCCGTCAAGAACCCATTGCGTTCACTGGTGACATCAAGCATATGTTCCACCGAGTTAAAGTGAGTTCTATTGACCGTGATTCCATGCGTTTTTTGTGGTTTGAGGATGGTGACATGACAAAACCTGTCCTTGAGTATAGAATGTCGTCTCATTTTTTTGGTTGTGTGTCTAGTCCTTGTGTTGCTACATTTGCTGTGAGAAAGGTTGCTGATGATAATTTGAGTGGTGCTGATTTTGACACTGTTCAAACACTTGAGAGAAATATGTATGTTGATGATGTTTTGAAAAGTTGCGAGTCGTCTGAGAAAGCTATTAGTTTGATAAATCAATTGTGTGAATTGACTGAAACAAAGGGGTTTCATATGACAAAATTTGCTAGTAATTCAAGTGAAGTTAATTCATCAATTCCTAATTCGGAACTTGCTCCCTCACTGAAATGTTTGGATTTGAATGGGTCTGGTGTTCACCACGCCCTTGGTGTGAAATGGAATATGGGGCCGGATGAACTGAAAGTGTGTGTGGATATTGAACCAAAGCAAGCAACTTGTAGGGGTATTTTGAGTGCTGTTTCGTCTATTTTTGATCCACTTGGCCTAGTCTCACCTTTTGTTTTGCCTGCTAAGCGTATATTGCAAGATTTGTCTAGTGAGGATTTTTCATGGGATGATACTATTTGTCATAGTCATAAGGTTCGATGGGAGAATTGGGTTTCACAGTTGCCAATCTTGAATGATGTTTCAGTCCCTAGATGTTACAAGCCACCTGGTTTTACGCCAATTGATATACAATTGCATTGTTTTTGTGATGCCTCTCAAGATGGTTATGGTGCGGTTGCGTATTTACGTTTCATAGATGCTAATGGTTCTGTTCATGTTTCATTTGTGAAAAGTTTAACAAGAATTACACCTAAGCGACCTATCACGGTTGTCCGCTTAGAATTGATGTCAGCTGTCGTTGCTGCTGAGTTGTCCCAGTCCATCAAAAGAGAATTGGACTATGAGATGTGTTCCTACTATTTTTGGACCGATAGTATGTCTGTTTTGCAAATGATTAATAATCGCTCTGAAAGGTTTAAAATTTTTGTCTCTAATCGTATTGCCCTAATTCATTCATTGTCTAAAGTTGAATCTTGGTTTCATGTGAGCTCTGAATTGAATCCTGCGGATGTTCTATCTCGAGGAGTTATGCCCAAACAACTACCAAAAATGTCTGTTTGGTTTGCCGGCCCAGAATTTTTGAAATTAGATCGCTCTCATTGGCCCAAACCTTGTTCTGTGAAATGTGACGATAATTTTGCCTCTGAGGTTAAAATTAATTTTGTCTCTACAAGTTCTAATGAATTTGCCTCTGTTTTTGATTTGCTCAAACGCTTCTCTTGTTTCGAAAAATTGTGCCAAAGTGTTGGGTGGTTGCTCCGTTTTAAAGCATACATGAAATGGAAGTTTCGCAGTGGTCCAAGACCGCCTGTGGGAAACTTGAGTGTTGATGAGTTGGAATTTGCTATGCATAATGTGATGAGTCTGGTTCAGTTGGATTCCATCTCGCCTAGTTTGTTGCAGTTGGGTTCCCGAGTGAATGATAGTTCTCCCCCTTCAAGTAGCAATTTGAAACCATCCATGAGTAATTCTTCGAAGTTATTGTTGAAGTTGAATCCATTTTTTGATGAAAATTGTCATGTGTGGCGAGTTGGTGGACGACTGAAGCATTCCAATTTGCCTTACAGTCAGAGGTACCCAATTATTCTGCCTCAAAGTCATCATGTCACTGAGTTGATTGTACATATGTATCATTGCAGGGAGGGTCATTGTGGTACTTTGCATACATTATCTGCTCTAAGAGGAAAGTTTTGGATCCTCAGAGGTCAGTCTGAGGTTCGGCGAATATTGGCCAAATGTATGGTTTGCAAGTTACGTTCGGCAAAGTTTAGTAGTCAATGGATGGCACCTCTCCCTAAATTTAGGATTGAACCTGGTCGAACTCCTTTTGATAAATGTTCAGTAGATTTGTTTGGCCCACTCAAGGTTAAATGCGGTAGGCGTGAGTTGAAACGTTATGGTTGTATTTTTACATGTTTAGCCACGCGAGCTTGTCATATTGAGTGTGTTGAGTCGATGGATACACCATCCTTTTTGAATGCTTTGTTTCGTTTTTCTGATCGTAGGAATACTCCGTCACTTATTTATTGTGACAATGGTTCAAATTTAATTGGTGCAAAGAATGTGTTGGCTCAAGGCATGAACAATTTGGATTCTACCCGTATTGAAGGTGAATTGGCACGGAAGGGAATTAAATGGGAACATAGTCCTCCTTCCGCCCCTTGGCAAAATGGTGTTACGGAAAAGATGGTTCATTTAACTAAACGTATTTTGTATGCTCTTGTAGAAAGACGAACATTGACAGATTTTTCCCTTATTTCATTTCTCACAGGCGTTGAGAGAATTTTGAATGATAGGCCAATCACGCCACTGAGCGATGATTGTAGAGATTTTGCGGCCCTGTCGCCCAGTGCGATTTTGCATGGTTGTCTTGACACCTCCCTCCCTGCCGATCGATTTTTGAAAACTGACGAGTATAGGGATTGTTGGCGCAGTGTTCAACGTCTATTGGATATGTTTTGGTCAAGATGGACCAAGGAGTATTTGCCCCTCTTGCAGTCTCGCAAGAAGTGGACCTTGTCTGGTCGTAATCTGAAAGTTGGTGATCTGGTTCTTGTTCATAATGAGAATTTACCGCGTGGTTCTTGGCCTAAGGCCATTGTTGAGAAAGTTTTTCCGGATGGTGATGGCATGGTGCGTAGGGTCGAAATTAGAACTGCTACATCTAGTGCTATGCGGGATGTAAGACGGCTGTGCTTACTTGAGGGTAGTGAATGATGTTGTTTGATATTTATATTTTCTTCATTTTACTATTATTCAGCTTAATTGTATAATTACACCGTTTTTGGGCCAAGTGTTTTGGGCTAGCTGCTTGTGTTTGGTAAATGATTCTTAGTTTCCCTGAAATTTGAATAATTTCCCGGGGCCGGTTATGTTCACGCTAGCCTAATATCGCATTTTTTACGGTCTACTGATTTTGGCATACTGATTTTGGTCTTGGAATTATGGTCCTACATCCGGGGCTTTGCTCAGCTGCTTTCTAGGATTTTCGATGTGAAGTGTGCTTATCTCAGTTTAGGGTTAGTAATGCTAAATTTTGTGGGTTTCTGGCCTATATGGGTTTCATCAGACAAACTTTATATAGATGTATGATTTTATATTGTTGCAGATTTTGTTGTGCTATGTACGCTGAACGTTGTTAATCGTTTGCTATAATAACTGATATCTCAATTTTGCATTGCCGTTTGCCATCTTCAATCTTTACAAAGAAAATTACATTGCTGCATTGGTTTTCGTTTCTACAACTTGTGTTCTGTGTGTTTCACTGGATTGGGTCATCGCTGTCAGTTTTTCAGTTCAAGGTAAACGCATTTCAACCAGCAAACTGGCAAACCAGAGAATTAGGCAACATCAAATCTTAAATTATCAATAGAAAACGCTGGCATCTCAAGGGGTCTGGCGTGGGATAGTTCTAAATGATCACTGTCCTGAACATACATAGTATTATCAGGCTTTTACAATTTCGGTCGAAATACCCCAACGGAAAGCGAAAAAAAAAAACAGAAATATTCAGGTGATAAGTCAAATTTGTAGTACATTGCCCGAGTTGTGAAACTTTATACCTGACGTAGTATGTTGCTTCCAAAGCCTTGATCAACCACTTATGTCTTTTTGTAATAATCGTTTGATATTTTTCATAATATTTCTTATGAAGTCCCGTCCATTTCAATTCCCATGTCTTGTATGCTTCTTTTGCAGCGCTGACTGCAGTTTTCACTTTCTTGGTCAAATCGACCTCGAATTTGGCGGAAGATTTGTTCACTGTTTCTGTGACAAAAATAGGTTTTGTTAGAATGAGTATGCTTGATAACTTAAGACCAAGGCTGAGTCTGTGTCTGTGTGTCATAGATAATGCTTTGTATCTCCAGAGCACATTGGGTTATAGACGATAGATGGACTAACTCAAGACCAAGGCTGCGGAGTCGATGTCTATGTGTCTGTGTCTGTGTGAGGAATCTGTGTCGGTATTTGATATGTTTTTGTTGGAGTCGAAGCTGGAATCGAATTTTCAAACTTTCTGGATTCAAGATTCTGAGGCAGAGTCGAAATTTGAATTCTCCGAAGCCCGAATTTCAGACGTTTCGTAGGAACGAAAGAAATTGAAATTTTGTACAATAATTTAAAAAAGTTATGTTCATCATGGCTGAGCTTTCCTGGCATTTGCATTTGGCTATAAAATTTTAGTGTGCTTAAGATATCTAAATCTAAAATTGAATTTTACAATAAATACCGATATTGCAAGTTTTCAATTTCTTGAATTCAGGCTTCCTCCAGGCATAATATCTATAGTTAGCAAACTTGAAGCAACGAATTTTCTTCGTGTATCGGAAAGTCCACCATGTTCCAAGTTTTTTGCTGAAATAAAATATTGTTTTTAATAAGTCTAAATAAAATAAGTCTGAATAAAACTCTTTTTACTTTTCTCACAAGTAATTTGCCAAAGCATATTTACAAGGCATTGCTTGAAAGTGGGAAATCAGATAATTTTCGCAAAGAACCACTAAGCTCTCAGACTAGCTGCCAGAGAGATTAGTACTCATAGTATACTTGATATTGCAACAAATACTAATGAAGCTTAAGGTTGTGTTTATTCCGCTAAAATTCTGCTAGTGGATCAGCAGACAAAAATTGTAAGTCGACTTTAATAAATTTTCCTATCAAACTAACCGAAAAGGTGTTTCGAATTGGCTTTAAATATTCTTTAAAACGTTGACAAGTCTTACCATGAATTATAATACTTCTTCTTGAAAAAGTTCAAGCATCCAGTGTATGTTGTGCATTGATAAGAGCATGCGTATCTTTGAACTATCACATCTTTGAAACCGTTAATTTTGTCCGCGTAGGAATTAAAAGTGACATCAAGTTTGTTTGTTAATTTGGTTTTATATTCATTCACAACAGCGTCGACAATTTCTTTTTCCCAAGTTTTTGATCCTAAAAAAATCAAAAATATTAGTAAAAAACAATGTAAAATGTTAGCGAAACGCAGCGTTAATAATTTTCAACTCACCATGGATCTTATATAGAAGACAGCGATAAACTTTAACCTTTTTCTCGTTGAGTTTACTCATAACTTTCTTGAAATGAGCAAAATACTCTTCGATCCGTCCGGTAAGTGCTTTCTTGAATTGAGCAATTTTCTTAGATCGAGTTTGGAAGCATTTCAGTGCTCTGGATTAATATATGAAAGAAAAATTATTTCAAATGATTCTACCTTTGTTGTTTTTAAATGAATTTTTATTGTTATTTAAATTAGCAGAACATACAAAAGTGGAAATTTTCTTAATATATTACAGAAAACATTACGTTGCATCAGTAAAGTTACTTAAAAAAGCGTTCAATAATCTAGCTTACGCATTGACGATCTTTCCATGGAATACAATCAACTTATTGTGTCTCATCTGAATTGCAGATTTATATTTAGTAGTGGTGGTAGAAGCCATTTTGTCGATTTTTGCTGTGAATGTGAATACAGCTTTATCCTTTTTCTCCGAAACAGCTGCTCTGCGCTCCTTAGTGACGTATCTATACATATGAATACAAAAAAAATAAATAGTTTCCTGAATAGAATTCGACGTTAAGAAATTTTCGATGCCAACAAGTCTTGGCTTACAAAAAAAAAAAAAATTTAAATTCATTTTTTTTCTTCCGATTTTAATTTTGGTATTATTGCACTGAACCGATGTTTAAAAGAAAATTAACTTAAAATACTTCAAAAATTCTTTTGTATATTCATTGACTCTATCGGCAAATTTAGTCTTGCAACTCTCCATTCTCAAGTTGAAATCAACAAGCCAAGTATCGTAATGTTCGTTCATCTCCTTCAATATTGCATCTGCCTTTGACTTCAGCTTCTTCTCAAGATTGGTCTTGAATTCGATTTTGGTCATTTCTGTGTATTAAGAAAGTAAAATAGAAATGAAGTTACATTGAAAATCGATGGAGGTAATGGAAGTCAACAAATCTGAGAGAGAGAAAAAAAAGAAAGAAGGGAAGAGAGAAACAATGAAAAGAATATGAGAGAGATTTTAAAAAGAAGAGAGTGGCGAACAGAGAGAACTTTTTATTAAAAACGAGAAAAGAGAAATCTATCGTTCTGAAATGCAAAGGTATTGATGTCTTGAAGAAATGAATTATTATTACCTTGAAAATCATCTGTTCCACATTTAGTTCCAGGATAAGAACTCATCACGGAAGAATAATATTTGGTAGTGAACCAGGAGCTGGAAAAATGAACACGAAACTTGAGACATGCCGAAGTAGGGAAGACGTAGAATCTCCTGATGGAATATTTAGTGTAACCACATGGATGTTGAACATAGGAGGCTGCGTTGGCAATCTGTATAAAGTAAATAGGTTGCGTGATATTATAGACTGTAGAGCAAAGATTTTACCAAATTCGAATTCAAATAGATATAGTAAAATAGACTTACCGCCAGGCAAGCCAGAAGTAAGATCAGGATCCTCATTTTGTGTCTTGTTTCGAAGTTCTTCGAGTTGAGACTGATTCGATTCATGTTTCCGTGGCCTATTTATACCCCGAAACAGAATATCTTGAACCGTACTGGCGCCGATAAAACACTCCTGGTTGCTATTTTGTCGTTCAAAACATGCATAATCATCCTACTCGAATAAACTTATGGATTCCGTAATTTCGATATGTGTATATATTATGAGGCTTTCCCAGTGCAGTTTTGTTGAACGATCAAGTTTTGATAACTCGAGACACGGGAAAGATAATCCATTTGCAGTTCAAACTTGCAATATTAAATCAGCAGATAAGATTCAGAAGTAGGCTTAATACATTTTGCATGGTGATTTCATCTTCTTGTTTTTACAACCCGTTCTCGATTCCTTACTTTTTACATTATCAGTTTTCAATGTGTTCAATGAAACTTATCCTGTTACAATTTTTGTTTTAACTATGCTGTTTTCGAATTCAAACAAAAATCCGAGGAAGACATAAAAAACATTTTATAGCACGAATCCGTGTATTTTGCACCTATGGATTAATGCTTCGATATAGCGTTGAGAGATTTAAATCAGTATCATTATGTCATACTAATGCTGGATAGTAATTACAAGACATCGAAGTGTAGGATTAGATCCCAGACCTGGCGCCGTTTATCTAAATTATGTATGTGGTATCTAAGCAACTTCAGAACATCACACTTTGAAGTGATGCGGTGTGTTTTGAATCCAACTGTTTCGTTGCATTGTAATTGTTCATTCTTGGCATCTCGTTATTTGAATATACACAGAATATCATGCCGAAAAACCATGAAGCTAATGATATAGATATATTCAATTCGTTCAATTCGTTCGTTTATTACTCCAGACCGCTGTGGTCCATATAAAAACAACACAACAAATAAACATAAGCAAAACAAAAATAACGCAATAAATACATAAAATACCTGATATGACAATCAGATTCACAGTAAGTCTCAAAAAAGAGTTATAATATAGCAATTCAAGAGACCAAAAGTGAGGTATAGAATCTAAGGTAGCCCGTGACAAACAGTATCTGGGAATCAAATAATGATTGTATAGATTTATATATATAGATATATATAGATTTCAAGACTCTTCATTTCGTTATATATTATAAATCTCTATCCAGATATGAACTAGATATGGTGAATATGTCGAATATGTCGTTTGTGAATTTATTATACTTAATATCATCATTTAAAAGGTTTCACGAATGTTTTATGTGTACATAGCCATGGCTACATAAATGTTCTGTACGTACATGTGACGTATATATATTTAAAAATCCATATATCCCACAGCCATGCGCCGTTTAAAACTCCGTTTACTTTTTGCATCCTTTCAATGCATAGGAACATTAGAAACTTTTTCTCATCAATAATATATTCTGTAGAGTACATTGATATTTATCTATCTTTATCTACTTATTTATCTAATTTATCTATGGAAATTCCCTTGACCCCGGACTCAGAAAAATACTGTCTATACTTCACCATGGCAAAAATAAATAAAGCAATTACCAGCTGGGGTACACATTTATAATCATCATTCAGATTCAAAATATTTAACTGCCCACAGTTTAACAGTCTCGTTCTATTTAATTAGTCTACCAAAAAAGGTTATTCAAAAAATCTTGTAATCTTAAGAGAGAAATTTTTGATTACTTTTACTTGAAATTTAACGCGAAATTATTTCACTTTATTTCATTCAATTCTATCATTGTTGCGATTGTGAAATTTTTCCCTTAATTAACGATATAATTCAGAATAGGTCTTATTTTCGGGGAAACACGGTTGTCAAAGAAACGCCAAATGAATACGCATTTTGTCACACAGACCAACTTACATTATTTATTATATGACCAAAACATATTTTTCCGATTATCGTGTTACTATTATGGTACTGATGTGAAAAATTCTTTGTAAATTTTTTTTAGACGACTAATAATAACTGACAATCTGAGTATCGATTTGTATTGCCAGGATAAACTAGCAAAGAGTGAAAAATCAGGAAACATCTGATACTTCTTTGTATTTGATACTTCTTACTTAATCAAACTGTTTCCGACAAGAATAGGAAACTCAAATTTACCAAATCAGAGGAGGTTAAGATGTCAATAAAACAGGAGAGCAATACTCAAATATATGGAGACAAATACCAATCAAGAGTACCAGTACGGTAGATTTGGAAGCACCAAGTTAGTAGAGATCGCCGGACAAACAATACGGAGTCGGTCGAGTAATACGAAATAAAAAGTGTTCCCCTTTAGTTAAAATAAAAAGCAAAATATTTCGTAAAATATCGTGCACCATGAAACTCATAACAAATTTCAATAAAGAATATGAAAGTGATACCCAGGCTTCAGCCATATTTGAAAGACTTAATTCGAAAACGATCGGCATATTAGTTCCCGACAAAAAATTTGCTCAACAAAAAATATTATCCCCAAAACAAAAGTCATCAGCAAAAACACCAATATGTACATTTCGTTTCCAATAAGCTATCATAAGCCTAGTTCGCTTTTGGTGTTTCCGTTATAAGCGTGTAATTCATTCCCGATGCAGATCTTGTTAACTCCTACTACGTGGTCAGCATCTGCATTTAAAGTGGATTTGGAAAGAAATTGAAAATGAAGAGGAATTTGTGAAGGAGCGTGTAAGAAATTTGTGTGAAATATGTAAAAACTGACAAACTTGGTTTTAACAAAATATATGAAAAGGTAGAAAAGACAAGAAAGTTTATTGAACAGAGTAGTCTAACATAACGTGGACAAAAATAACTTGACCTATATTTTTTAATTTTGGGAACATTGATGTATGGGAACATTAAGTAGAGATATATTATAATATCGTCACGCTAATACCCGAATTGCGTAAGTCATTTTTTGGCGGTTTTGAGTTTTTCATAAAATAGGTATTTATGTAATGCTGCGCACCTGTCTGTTAAGTCAGATTTTGTTTTAAGAATTCCGAAACCCATAAAAATAGAGATTTTGTATGATATGCAAATTTGTTCAATTGTTTCGTCATAATGAATTATCATTGATAACGCAGGACTATGACGTCACAGAGGCAAAATAACCTCGGCAAATGATTTTCGAGTTTTTGCATCTCAGATTCTAGCTTAGCGCTTATAAATTTCAATTTATACTACAGTATAGGAAGGCGTGCACTTGTGATATTCACTGTCTGAGTCCAATTCACCTTGGTTGGCTTTTATATAAGGGTACATTGCTGTTTTATTCTATATAGTTTGGTTTTCAGTACTGGTACATATAGTCAAGTTGCAAAATTGCGTGTGTCTCCAAGTCATTGACACATTTCTGCCTAAGTCACAGTGCACCATTATGACGTCACATGACTGCGTCATACAAATTAACTTAAATCCGACTACGATCAAAAAATTGAACTTTGGCAAATTATTGACTCTCAATGGCATGACAATATCATTAGGAAGTTTTTCACGTTTTTCTCAAAACTGCTAAAAATGACTTACGCGATTCGGTTATTAGCGTGACGATATACTTGTGTAATTAGCTAGACAAATTTGAAAATTTAGCTATTTTTGGTATTTTTGATAGCTCAGGAAATGCTTTATAAATACCTGCTATCGGGGGACCTATAACATGCCTAACTCGCGATCCACTGAACTTAAATAATGCGGTTTATTATTAAAAAATGTGGTGCTCCCGAAGTATGCGAACCAAGATGGCGGACATCGAAACGTAACACGGGTAACAGGTTAGGGTTAGGCGATAATTTTTTTCCAATTTTCCTTATTTTAGTCCTATTATCAGAGAGCCTCCCGTAGTATTTATACCTAAAATTATGGCCTAACCTTAACCTAGTACACATATTACATTCCGATGTCCGCCATCTTGGTTCGCATACTTCGGGAGCCCCAAAAATGTATTGGGCAAATCCATACTTGAATAAATCCTTCAATGTAAAATCAAATTGTGTTTTGAGGATTTGTAATTTTACGGAAACGCCGTGAGTCTAATGCATAGAAACCCTTTTCTCATTTCATTAGGTTAAAAGTAAAGAGAAGAAAACATAGTATACATGCAATATACAATTATCAGTCATTCCCGAGACCATGGTAAAGAGGAGCAAGCATGAAGCACATGATTATTTATCATTATCATTGGTTACAAAATATTGTCTGAATACATATTAATAGGTGCTCCAGAAGTAAGCGCACCAAGATGTCGCACTACCTGAATCCCAACAGGTACACACACATACTATTTTCAGGTTGTGCGCCATCTTGGTACGCATACTTCGACATAATATCTGCTAATAACAAAATGAAACTCTAAATGAACACTTCTTCAATTCATGTTTAGTTTTAATAAATGCCTACAGTAAGCTAATTTATACAAAATGGTAACTTTCTGTGGAAATCAAGGCAACTTATCAACAATATGGACACAAAATGGATTCTTGCCATGTTTTTACAATATGATATCTGCGTCCCTGATGGTATTCGTGGCTGTGTTCCCGTTATCATATCAAATACATAAAATGAGGAGGTGGGTGCATTAGCAATATGAGGATAAAGGTTAGGAATTCAAATTGGAAAATAAGCACTAAAAATCGTTTTATGTTATTGCTTTCATATCTTAGAATTTATAATGAATGGCGGAACTTAAATTATTTATGATATTTTAATTTTCGAATTGCGGAAAAATAAATTATTCTAATAGTTTTCAATGTATCGATGAGCTGTGGGTAACAAGTTGGTGGCGATTTGAATTGTTTATTCGAGTCGAAATACCCAACCCTAATGACTAGCCACCATATTCAAAAAATGAGAGGACACATCGCCACAAGGACAGTGCGGGATTGCGTTCAAATTCACTCCAACAGGATTTAATCGGCACACGGTAATCGAGATAAAGTTTCAATATTATGTTATCCACATTATCTAAAGGGGGAGGGAGGGGCGAGCCGCGGCCGTTAAGTCGAAGGCAATAGTTAACCCGTCATTCGGGTGCATGTAAAAGCTGCCAAATTTAGAATACTTTTCGCAGTGGCGGCGCGTCAATAGGGCCAACCGGGGCAATGCCCCGGTTGTTTTTTCGGTATAATAAAAAATATTCGAAAAATACCTCAATATCGGTTGCACAGACTGTCTACACTAACCATATTCTCCCGACATGGTTCATTTTTCGCTCGCAAAGCCTTCGCCGAACGTCGACGGGGCGACGCCGATTTTGCCCCGGTTGCTCATTGTATATCGTATTCTCTCTTTTATCTTCCACTCGCCGCGTTTGTCTCGTTTGTTTTCTGTTTCTTTTACCAAATCATCGGGGCTAGCCCCGAAATTATGACGACACAATGCCGACGTTTCTTACAACAACGTGTTGACATATTCACGCATTCCTTCTCGTTCGTTGGTTGCT